TCTCATGTGTACATGGAACATTCTCAAGAACAGATAACTCACCAGGCCATGAAACAAGTCCCAGTAAATTTGAAAAGACTGAAATAACACAAATGATCTTCTCTGACCACATCGGAATGCAGTTAGAAATCAGTAACAGAAAGGAAAGTGGAAAATTCCAAACACGTGGAAATTAAAGAACACACTCTTAAATAACCAATGAGTCAAAGAAGAAATCACAAAGGAAATTTTGGAAATTCTTGGAAACTATAGAAAATGAAAAACTTATAGGATGCAGTGAATACAGTACTCCAAGGGAATCTTCTAGATGTAAATGCCTGCTACACAAAAAACAATGAAACCAATAACCCAACTTCACGCCTTAAGGAACAAGAAAAAGAAGAGAAAACTAAACCCAAAGGCAGTAGAAGTGAGGCTTTGGGTTTAGTTTAAAGGATAAAGATTGGAGTGGAGATACATGAAATAAGAGAATCAGAAAAACAAGCTGGTTCTTTGAAAGGATCAATTAAGTGGACAATTCTTTATGGAGGCTAAGAAAAAAGAGAAGACTCAAATTACTATAATCAGTAGTGAACAAGGGGACATTACTATGGGTTTGGCAGAAATAAGGAAAGGTTCTACAATAAACAACGGCAGTATATTAGAAAACCTATATGAAATGGACAAATACCTAGAAACACACAAATTACCCAAACTGACCCACGAAGAAATAAGAATAGATCTGTAAGAAATAAAGAGACTGAGTCAGTAATCAAAAACATCCCAAGAAAGCAAGCCCAGGAACAGATGGCTTCACAGCTGAATTCCACCAAACATTAAGGAATTAACACTAATCCACTCCAAACTCTTGCAAAAAAGCAGAAGAGGAAGGAACACCTCTGAAGTTATTGGACGTGTGCCCTATTGGACGTGCCCTAAGTTATGAGGATAGCATCATCCTGATTCCAAAGTCAGACAAAGACACCAAAGAAAAAAACTACATACCAGTATCTTATTAATAGATGCAAATGTCCTCAAGAAAATACTAGCAAATATCACTCATATGCGGAATCTAATTTTTAAAAATGATACAAATGAACTTATTTACAAAACAGAAATGGACTTACAGATATCGGAAACAAATTTATGGTTACCAAAGGGGAAACGGGGCGGGGGGATAAATCAGGAGCTTAGGGTTAACATACACACACTACTGTATATTAAATAACCAACAAGAACCTACTGTATAGCACAGGGACCACTACTCAAATTCTGTGATAATCTCTACGAGAAAAGAATTTGAAAAAGAGTGTATACGTGTATACGTATAAGAATTTGAAAAAGAGTGTATACATGTATACGTATAACTGAATCACTCTGCTGTACACCCAAAACTAACACAACATTGTAAATCAGCTATAAATCAATAAACTATTTTTTAAAAAAGAAAGGAAATACTAGCGTGCTGAATCCAGCAGCACATTGAAATGATTATACACCATGATCATGCGGGATTTATCTGAGGAATAAGAAGGGTGGTTCCACACACAAAAATCAATCAATGTAATACACCACATGAATAGAAGGAAGGGAAAAAATACCACATGATCATCTCAATTAATGCAGAAAAAGCATTCGATAAAATTCAGCATCATTTCATGATAAAACATTTTAAAACCAGGAGTAGGGACTTCCCTGGTGGTCCAGTGGTAAAGAATCCGCCTTCCAATGCAGGGGACGCAGGTTCGATCCTTAGTCACGGGACTAATATCCCACATGCTGCGGGTCAGCTAAGCCCGCGCGCCACAACTACTGAGCTCGAGCGCCTCAACTAGAGAGACTGCGTGCCACAAACTGTAGAGCCCACGCACCCTGGTGCCCAGGCGCCACAACTAGAGGAGACAAAATCCGCACAGCACAACTAGAGAGAAGCCCGCGCACCGCAATGAAGAGCCCACGCACCACAATGAAAGATCCCGCATGCCTCAACGAATATCCCACGTGCCGCAACTAAGAACAGGCGCAACCAAAAATTAATAAAAATAAATAAATAATAAATCTTTAAAAAAAAAAGGAATAGAAGGAGAATACCTCAGCAGGCCCCAAGCTAATATCCCAAATACCCAAAGCTAATATAATAATCAGTGATGAAAGACTGAAAATTCTTCCTCTAAAATCTGGAACAAAACAAGGATGTCCATTTTCACCACTTCTATTCCATATTATAGTAAAAGTTTTAGTCAGAGAAAGAAAGAAAAGGCATTCAAATTAGACAGGAAGAAGTAAAACTATCTCTATTTGCAGATGACTTGATGTCATGTGTAGAAAGTCCTAATACAGAAATCCAGCAAAATTGTCGGACACCAGATCAGTAGTTTTTAACGACTTGTACGTCTATACACTAGCAATGAACAATCTGAGAAGGAAATTTATAAGGTAACCTCACTTACAATAGCATCAAAAATAATAAAATACTTGGGAATAAATTCCATCAAGTCCAAGATCTGTATACCCCAAACCACAAAACCCTCCTGAAAGACGTTAAAGGTGACTTAAATAAATGGAAAGACATCTTGTGAAACTTAATATTGCTAAGATGGCAATATTCCCCAAGCATTCTATAGATTCAACACAATCCCTACTAAAATCCCAACATTCTTTTTTTGCAGAAATAGAAAAAGTGATCCTAAAATTCATATGGAGTTGCTAGTGAAAAATAAATAGCCGAAACAATCTTAAAAAGAACAGAGTTGGTTGACCCACACCTCTCAATTCCAAAACATACTACACAGCTCCAGTTCTCAAGACATTATGCTTCTGGCATGAGGTCAGACACAGGGATCCTTGGAATAAAATTGAGAGTCCAGATATTAACCATACAACTGGTTTCATCAAGGGTGCCAACACAATTCAATGCGGAAAGAATAGGCCTTTCAACAAATGGTGCTGGGAAATCTGGATATCCACATGCAAAACAATGAAGTTGAACCCATATCACATACCATATAAAAGTTAACTCAAGGGGCTTCCCTGGTGGCGCAGCGGTTGAGAGTCCGTCTGCCGATGTGGGGGACGCAGGTTTGTGCCCTGGTCCGGGAGGATCCCGCGTGCCGCGGAGCGGCTGGGCCCGTGAGCCATGGCCACTGAGCCTGCGCGTCCAGAGCCTGTGCTCTGCAACGGGAGAGGCCACAGCGGTGAGAGGCCCACGTACCGCAAAAAACAAAACAAAAAAAATTAACTCAAATTGGATCAAAGCCTTAAATCTAAGAGCTGAAACTATAAAATGATTAGAAGGAAACACAGGTGTAAATCTTCATGATCTTGACTTTGGTAATGGCTTCTTACATATGACACTACAAGCATGAGCATAAAGAAAAAATTATTGAAACTCATCAGCGTTAAAAACTTTTGTGCATCAAAGGACACAATCAAGAAAGTGAAAAGACAACCTACAGGACGGGAGAAAATATTTGCATATCATGTATCTAATGCTGTCTGGTATCCAGCATACATAAAGAATTCTTACAACTGAACAACAAAAAGGCATGCAACCCAAGTAAAAAATGGGCAAAGGATTTCAACAGTGATTTCTCCAAAGACAAAGACACATCCAACAAGCACATGGAAAGATGCCCAACATCACTAGCCATTAGGAAAATGCAAATCAAAACCTAAGTAAACTTTCAACTGCTAGGGCCTGGGTTCGATCCCTGTTAGGGGAACTGTAATCCCACAAGCCTTCCCACGTGGCAAAAAACAAACAAACACCTCAGTGAGATATTTCACACCAACCAGGATGGGGCTAGTTGTTTTTTTTGTTTTTGTTTTTGTTTTTTTAAGAGAAAACAGGTGTTGGCGAGGAGGTGGAGAAACTGGAACCCTCATATATTGCTAGTGGGAATGCAAAATAGGCAACCACTGTGGAAAACGGCTTGGTGAGTCCTCAAAAAATTAAACACAGGCTCACCACATGACCCAGCAATTCCACTCCTAGGTATACACCCAAAAGAACTGAAAACAGGGAGTCAAACACTTGTACACAAGTCACAATAGGCAAGAAGTGGAAGCAACCTAAACGTCCATCAACAGATGAATGGATAAGCAAAATGTGACATATAATGGAACATTATTCAGCCATAAAAGAGAATGAAGTCCTGACACCTGCTACAATGTGGGTGAACCTTGAAAACATTATTCTAAGTGAAAGAAGCCAGATCTCAAAGGCCACGTGTTGTATGGCTGGTGGTTGCCAGGTGGCTGAAGAAGGAGGGCTAGGGAGTGATCACTTAATCATTACTTAATGGGTACCAGGTTTTCTTTCGTGGTGGTGATAATATACTGGAACTTGATAAAGGTGGTGGTGGTACCTTAAATGGTTAGTTTCATGTTATGTGAATTCTTCTTCAATTAAAAACAATTAAGCATAATCTATAGGACCTATTTTAACTTTCCTCCCTGCGAAAACGAAAAGTGAAAAACAAACGCGACTTACCTTGTTCCTGGGATGGAGACCCTCCAGGGTGACGGTGTCGGTTAAGCCGAAGTGCAGCGTATTCCGAGCCAAGCTCACAGGAGGACCAGCGCGGGATAAAGTAACTTGGAAGCTCGTTTTGCCGAATAACCCTACGATAACCCTCAAACTTCTGAGGACGCGCAGCACCGAGTGGGGCCTCTCCTTTCCGGCCACCACGCTCCGCCGGGGCTGCAGACCGGTGGCCACGCAGGACGGTCCCCGGAAGACCAAGGGAGCTGGACGGGTTAGGGTTCGAGCGGGACGGTCCGAGCTGGACGGCCGGAGGCGTTCCCTCCCTGGCTGCAGCGCCGCGGCCGGCCGCCGGGGAGCAGTGGTGGCCCGCGCTACGCAGGCCTGGCCCGACCTCCTTCCTGCTCCGACGCCGCTCGGACCTCGCGCGCTCCAAAGCGCCCAGAAGGCCGCGGCCCCAGGCCACGCTCCGTGCTAGTACGTCTCGCTGACCACGCCCCCGCGTCCACGGCCAGGCCCCTCACCTGCGCGGCCCTCGATGGCCCCGCCCCCAGCCCGCTCCAGGCCACACCCCATCCGTCCCGCCCCTCGGCCCAGGCCCCGCCCGGCGGCCTGCTTTGCCTTCCAGGGCTCCACCCAGCCGATACCGCCGCTCTCCGGCCCCGCCTCTCTCCGGGCCCCGCCCAAGCCCCGATCCGCCGGCCTCCAGAGCGCAGACACCGCCCCTATGGGGCCGCGCCCTCTCAGGCCCCGCCCCTCAGGTACCGTCTCTCTCTCTCTCTCTCTCTCTCTCTCTCTCTCTCTCTCTCTCTCTCTC